ACAGACGTGAGCCGCCACACCTGCTGCATCCTTAGATACAGACGTGATCTGCCATACCTGGTGCTTGTTTTTTAAAAACTGATTTTTAGCTGTACTGACAATGACTAATGTGATTTCTTGTAGCTCTTTCATTCTGTGAAGTCCCCTCTTCATGAATTTATCAGCACTATTCAGTCCTGGTGCAAGGACACTGCAGTCCATCATGGTATACTTTCTACTCTGATTGCTGCCCTTGTGGTTGAGATAAGTCATCAGCTGCAGAAGGTGAGGTATACTGATTCTGAAACTGCCGTGCTCTTAACTGTCCCAGATGTTGTGCCTGCTTACAGTACGTGGTTAAGGTTTTCTAGTGCAAGCTTTTGGTGACGACTGTTTGCCAATTTCACTACTTTGCCATTTAACTGTTTGGGCATCTAGAGCCATGTGGAAACTGGAGCATATGCTAAGGGTATTGTCATTCCTGACTGCGGTGGAACTAGGCACTATGATGCGGATATGTCTGCTGGTTTTGAATTAATTGATAGTTTCTAAAGATTCTTCTTTGTTGAAGAGATCAAAAATAGTTGGGCAGACAGACATTGCAGGATTGTTCTAGACTGAATTGGTGTACAGTTGTTCATATCTCTGCATGCTTTTTTCTTTTTTCTTTTCATTTCTTAACTATAGGAAGCTTGAAGTTTTGAAAATGTGCTTACTGTGATTATGAGTGTTTTCCTTCATGTGTATATATGTGTGCCATGTGCATTCTTGGTGTCCACAGAGGCCAGAAGAAGGTATTGGGTCCCCTACAACTGGATTTACAAAGCTGTTAGCTGCTTTGTGGGTTCTGGGGACTGACCCTGGGTCCTCTATAAGAGAAGAAAGCTCTCTTAGCAGTCAAGCCTTCCCTCCCTCTAGCTCTGGAAACTTGAAATTTTGGTATCTTATTCTTCTGTTGGAGCTAAAGGTGAATGGAACACAGATTTAGTCTGTTTTGTTACAGATTGACCTGATCATTGTTGCTATTTGAGCTAACACAGAAAGTGATACTGTACATAGAGAACATGTAGGATGCTCTTTGTCTTCTTAAGCTTCAAGATGTCCCTTGTGGACATAGGCAGTGATGTGAAGGAGAGAAGTAGCGGTGGGTTTACTCAGAATGAAAAGATGGACTGTCGCTGAACTGCATGAACTTCTAGAGATGGTCATGTACTGCTTAGTCATGGGCACTCTGAGAAGTGAAGATGCAGATTCTCACTGTGCTGCCCTGGGTATGGCTATACAGATGCCAGCACGCTCAGCATAATGTTTTGGGACATTGTCAGATCCACCATCCCTTGTTCCCAAAATGTTAGCACGCGGCTGTGCAGCTCATGATCGAGGAGAGATTATTTGGTTTAAGAAAGTAATTGCTAGGTGACATTGCATAAACCTAGGATTAGGACTTAACTTCAGGAAGCCATGGAGGTGAAGTTATTAAAGCATTGGCAGCCTTTGGACAAACCCGGACCCTTTTCTGTGTGCTGCTCTGCCTCTTTGCAGAAGAGCACTGCTGACTGCCTGTCTTCTTGCAGTCTATATTCTTGACTACAGATTGTTCTGCTTTTTCACTTCTTTTTGTCAGTTCTTTTGTTGGGTTGCATATGCATTTAAGATTACTGTCTCCTTTGAAGGTCTTATTTCTGACTGTCCTATTATAAAATACCTGCTTCACGAAGTCTACATTGTTAACTTGGTAGCCAGCCTGGCTCCCTTAAGCTTCACAGGGCCTCTGTATTTAGCTTTTACTGCTGATCTGTCTTTACAAGTAAGGTGTTGTAAGTGTGCTACATGAGTAGTTCTGTAAAACAGTCTGACAGTGTCTTCCTTTCATGGGGAGTGCTTATAACTCAGCTGATGTTAAAGCTGTGGATGTGCTTGCTGATCACATTAGCATTTAAGACGGGGACCCATGATATCCCCTACTTCAACCTCCACAGTGCTGAGATCACAATCATGAGTCGCCATGCCCCACTTTTACTGTTGACTTTATCTTTCCTGTGGACTGGACCTTATTTTCTCACCCTTTCTACTGCAGTGACTCTTTAATGCAGTTCCTCATGTTGTATTGTAGCCATACAACATTATACAAATGAAATATACAAAATTATTTCATTGCTACTTCATAACTGCAGTTTTGTTGCTGTTATGAATTGTAATGTAAATATCTGTGTTTTCTGACAGTCTTAGGTGACCCCTCTGAAAGGATTGTTTGAACCCGCAAAAGGATCTCAGTTCTCAGGTTGAGAACTGCTTTAGTCTGAAACACCAGCATTCTAAGACTGGCTTCTAATCTGAGCTGAGAGGAACTGGTTAAGTTGGCTTAGGATAAAAATATGGTTTTTTTATAGATGATATCAAGTTAAATAAAGGCCATTTGACTAAAGCCTTGCTAAGTTTTATGTTCTTTATTTCTGTTACATTGAGTAAAATGTTCTTGTGGAGAATAATAAAGAAATTTGTAATTAAGTGTAGTGAATAAAGCTTGTTATTTTGAGTTTCTGAATTGCTTTGGTCAGATATAAGAGAACCCAGATCAATGTGAACCAAGCTGTCAATCTGGGGTAATTACAATATACTGATTTGAAACTTTCCTAGGTTTCTGATATAGAAGAGCTGACCACACCACAATGTCCTGCTGACCTTCCTCCATTTTCAAGGTGTTTAGTTGGTGTAATAATGAAGTCTTCGGATGTGGTCAGGTAATTAATTGTCTTCTCTTTGATCCTGGTACAACCCTATCTGTATTTTTTCTTAGTGCCCTTTAATTTATTACTTTTTACTCTCAGATTATCAAAGGTATTTTTTTACCCACTTGTGAAAAGCATTCCATAGCTTTTCTTCATGTTATGAGTGATGGAACGGCTTATGTCAAACTTTCATACAGAACCATTACTTTCTATAAACTGTTGTGTCCATTTAAATAGTTTTTAGCTATGTTTATCACAACCAGATTCTGCTTGATGGGAAAAAAATGTGTACAAAAACACTTCTTACTGCGTGTTCTAGTTTTCTTCTCTTGTCATGAGCCATCTTTTTGGGGTGACTTCTGCCACAATCTTAGCCACAGTGGATTTGTCGTTCCAGGTAGGGACGTGAGATTTAGAAATGGTAGAGGAACAGAGATAAGAAGGAAACACAGAGACGCAGGATAGTACTAGGAGGGCAACTCAGAGAATACTGAATGCGGAATTTTGCCTATATTTATTTTCCATACACTTTTATACTCCAAAACAATAAGGGGGAAGAAGGCAAAAGACTGCTTTAACAAAGGACAGCCAGAATAGTTACTTGCTCCAATACTTGAGACATCAAGCCCTTAATTCCTGAGTAAAACATTTGATATTTGGGGTAGTGAACCCACCCTAGACCAAGTATCCTGCAGGCATCTACTCCCTAAGTCAAACCTCCTATTTCAAAAGAAGGAGCAGAAGTATGTTTGAATTCTCTAACTTTTAGTCAGGGTGGAGTGGACCCACCTATGTTGGCCATCTTAATGTTGAAAACACCAAGTAACCACAGCCTAGGTCAGGATGTCTTATTTTGTAGCCACACCTGCTGTCAACAACTTTGAAAGAGCAAAAATAAGCTCAAACTCTCTATCCTTCAGACAAAGGAAAATAGGCTCACATTTTTGGGTTCCCACATTCTCTGTTGCTTTAACACTAACCAAAATTAGCTTGAGGAGAAAAAGATTTATTTGGTTTTCAGGTTATAGTCCATCATGGAGAAAAGCCATGGCAGGGATTGAAAACAGACCATTTGAAACACTGCTCTCCATGACTTGCTCAGCTTGCTTCCTTATATAGCTCAGGACCATTTGTGCAAGGGTGGTGCCACCCACCCACGTTGTCTTGGCCCTCCTAAGAAAATGTACCATAGGCATCTCCATAGGTCAGTCAATTAAGGTCCTGTCTTCCCATAAGACTTCAAAAAAGTCAAAAACTTAGTAACAAATTGACCCATTAGCAAGTTTGGCTACTAGCTTGGGCTGCAGCATTGCTCCAGCTCCTCTCTCCCCCAGTTAGAGTCCTCTTCTATGTGCTGACCTTGTGGAGGTGCTTTCCAGACTTCACCTCCTGATGCTAGTCTCTTATTAATCACAGCTGAGTCTTCAGCTCCAGCTAACCAGCATCATTTGTTTCAGTAACACAAAAGTTTTTATTTCTACAGTTTATGAATTCAAATTTTATCACATAAACAACCCTTGGTTCTTTAGTCCATTTATCACTTGACTAGGATTCTAGGGTTTGTGGTAGTCCACAAGGGACTGAAGATATAGAGGGATTTGTTTTTCAGACTGTGAACACAGTGGCATTGAATGGTGTGAATATATTCCTTGAAAACTGAATTGCATCATTCTGAGGGCTGTGAATTGCCTTTAAGCAGCCTGTTAAATATCTCTTATGTACATTGGACTGTAGAACATAGCCACACTGTTTTTCAAAGGCCACGTTCCTGTTCTCCTGTGCATACCATTTGGTTTTAGCATTTCATCTGTAAGAACTGACATGTATAATACATAAAGGGGAGGACCTTAGGCAATTTCTCATGTTACCTGAAAAGTGGTATTTATGATTGTGGGTAAACCTCACCTGTGTTTATTTTTATTTTTTTATAAAGTATTGGGGATATGGAATAATTTCAAATGTTTGCTGGTTCCATAGGTCATTTTTGGATGAGCTAAAGGCTTGTGTAACCTCTGGTGATATTGAAGGCATTGTGTGCCTCACAGCTGTTCTGCATGTTATTTTGGTTATTAATAAAGGTTGGTTACATTTTTTTTTCTCCTTCATCTTGTAACTTACTGATTATGTCCTTGTTTGTTGCTGCTGTTACAGATGTTTGGGAATTTGACCTGTTTCACCTCTTCTCTGGCAGCACAGAAGAGGTTTTCCCACAGCCTTCTCACCCTTGTTCTCTGATGTTCTCTGAGTACAGTGCCGTCCACTGTCCCTGTCAGTTCTGTATCGTAGCTCCTGTCTGCCTTTCACTTGCACTGTTCAGTGCCTGTAAATATCACTGGGTCCCTTCCTTCCCTTCCCTCCCCTCCCCTCCCTTTCCCTCCCCACTCCTCTTCCTCCCCCTTCCCCTTCCATCCCCTCCCCTCTTGCCTTGTGCAGGCTTGATAAGTGATCTATCACTGAACTATGTCACCAGCTCCCTTTTTAATTTTGAGGCAGGGTCTGACTAATATACCTAGGTTGGCCATGAACTCACTCTGCAACCAGACGGGCCTTGAACTTGGAGTTTTCCTGTCTTAGCCTTGCTAGTTGCTGGGATTACAGGTCTGGACCACTGAACTTCAGAATTGAATTTCTATTGATTTGCCCAGTATTACTTATGTTTAAAAATCTGGGTGAGCCCTGTAGCAAAGGCCTGTAGCCTCAGCTACTCAGGAAGCTGAGGTGTGAATCGTGTTCAAACTTAGGAGTTTGGTCAGTATTAGTGAAATCCAGTATCAAAACTGTTTCTAAAATTTATTTTTTTAAACAGTGGACATGTTGGCATCATGCCCCTTGAATACTTAAGTAATTTGAAAGTAGTGCTGGAAACATATTTGGCAATACCTATAAAATGTCAGCTCAGTGTAAAGACCAGTGGCATCATTGCAGGCTGACTGACTGTATTCAAGTTTCCGTATTTTTGGTTAAGGTCTACTGATGTTAAATGCCTACCGCATCTGTGAAGATTTACAAAGCTTGAGTCCCTTTCACCCGCATGTTTGGGACAAGAATTCCTTCAGAATTTGGGAGTTCATAGTTTTTGTACTATTTATGTGAAACATACTGCTTGAGAATTTCCGAATTGAAAATTTAAAATCTGAAACACATATAAGTAGGACAAAAAGTTTTGAATTTTAGAATATAGCAGATTACAGTTTTTGGTATTAGGTGCTCAGTCAATGATGTTTTAAAAAGTTTTCAGGCCCAGTATGGGCACCGTAAAAGGCTTGTCTGATTTAGAGGCACAGAGCCCCTGTGTTTGCAGAGCAAAGGACATACCTCATTGAGGAGATGTAAGCATGTATGTGAGGTGCTGAATACCTGCAGTGGAATATAGCACGATTAATTAAAATCCAGAGACAGATAATTGGGGTTCAACCTGATGGCCAGAAAAACAAATCAGCCAGACATTGGCTCTTACCTCCTCCTCAGTCTGAAATGGTGATCCTACCTCTAGGAATCTCAGAATGAGACTGTGTCTGAGAGCTGTCTCCTCCCGTTTTATATTCCCCTGTAGATCTGGGGTTAAAGGTGTGCCCTGCTACTGCCCAGTTTCTATGGCAAACTAGTGTGGCTACTGGGATTAAAGGTGTGTGTCATTGCTGCCTGGTCTGTAAGACTGATCAGTTGGGGCTGTTTTACTCTCTGATCTTAAGGCAAGCTTTAGTTATTAAAATACAAATAAAACTACAGTGGATGAATGTGATTTGTGCTGGTCTTCACTTTTTCCTGGTGATTCTCTACTCATGGCAGATGTGCTCTCACGGCGTCTCTGTGAAAGGGGTAATTGTCCTACAGTCCGCCAGGGTTAACTTGGGAGAAATAAGACCACAGATAACTGACCACATGTGCACAGCAGAAAATGTTATATATAGTGATGGTGAGAACTTCTTTTTTTCATTGTAATCTTCTTACAGGTAAACATAGAAGTGCAAAGCTGAAGGAGGTTGTAGAGACTGTGAACAGAAAGCTGAAGACATTTATGGAGATCACTTTGGAAGAGGATAGTCTAGAAAGGTAAATGTGAGACTTCCTCACCTGAGAGCTGGGTATGTTTGGGATTGCTCTTTTATTCAGTTCATTAGAGCCAGGTGATTAGAAGCAGTTGTAAGGTTGGAGATTGTGGTCATTTGAATGAGAATGACCCCCATACTAAATGTGATTGAATGCTTGGTGTGCAGTTGGTAGAATTGTTTGGAAAGGATTAGGAGTGGCCTTGTTGGAGGAGGTGTATTATTGGGGTGGGCTTTGAGATTCCAAGCCATTTCCAGTTAGCTCTGTCTTTGCTTGTGCATGTGGATCATATGTAAGCTCTCAGCTTCTGCTACAGTACCATGCTTGCTGCAATGGTTCCTGCTATTGTGAACTCTCATCTTCTGGAACTGTGACCCTGTAAATTAAATGATTGCTTTTATAAATTGCCTTGGTCATGATGCTTTGTTGTGTCAATAGAACAGTGACTAAAACAGATGTTTCTCATGTACAAATGCTTTTCAGAAACAAAAGAAAATCATTTGTGAAATTTTACTATAGAAAAGAAAGAACATTTACCCCCTCACAGTTTTCAAATGAGACATTGTTTTTGGCTAATTTGCTTCATTTGAAAGCCACAGGTATTTTCCAAGTATTAATGCAGGTCTGTCTTAAGAGTGTCAAGCAAGGTTCATTCCTAGCCCTTTGTGATATTATAGGGTGCCCACCAGAGAAGAAAACTCAGACTCAGTCTTTAGCCAATTGAAAGTCTTCATTCCAACTGCCTGGGAATATACTCAGTTGTTTGGGACCCAAGTGTAGTACCAAGCGCATAGAGTAAGGGGTTTCCACATCCTGGTATCCTCCTCCTCCACAGCTTCAGGAGGAGGTTTTGCACAAGCAAGTAGTTTAACAGACTCTAAGGTAAGTTAGCTGGGGCATCTTGACCTTAGCTTCCTAGAATAGAGTTGTGTAATTTTCCTCCTGGCTTCGTATTGATGAGATCAAATTCTAGTTAAACCTGAATTGGCCTCAGCAGAAATACAAGATGAAGGAACCTGTGCATTGTTTTGCCCTGTCTTTTCTTTCTTCCTAGGGAATTTGGGTTGCTCAGACTGCTGTTGAAAAGCATGTTCCTGAGCCATTTTCCTCTCTAGGACATCTGTGCTGTTTATACGTGTAGTGGAGAGATCAATTTTTCCAGGCGTTTCACTAGGCAGTCTTAGTGGGAAGCAGACCACGCATACTGCTTAGCTGTCCTCTGCTTTGCAGAGAGCCTTTCAGAATCCTAGATTGCTGTTTTATACATACATTTGTGGAATGTTGCTTATGTGGACTTGTTACATAGGCATACATACTAAATGCTTACTTAACTAAGATTTAGGTTTACAAATGATTTTGACAATTGAGATATTATAGTGAATGAAAGGATTACTGAATATGTTTCTAGCCCATTCTAATTTTTAGTATTCTTAGCAAAATGGATCTTTGTTAGCATAATTAGGAACTATCCATAAAAATAATAAAAAATATTTTTTTTTGAAATTTATTTCAATTATTATTTTTACTTTGGTGATGCTGGGAATTGAACTTACTGCTTCCTACATATATACATACACACTCATAAAATATATATAGTATATATGCATATACATATAAATGCACGCGCACACACACACTGCCACTTAATTAGCTCTCCAACTCATTTAAAAATTTTAAAACATTAGTTTTATTTTTTCCGGCCATCAGAGTCTTAGCCAATTGGTAGTTTTCTATGCTGTTGTAGTTTGAACATGTATCACAAGCCAATACTTCGAATGCACGTAGAGTGTAGAAGTGACACTACATGGTATGTCCGTAACATTAAACAGTGCAAGCAGTTTTGTGTCTGGAACAGTGACGCTGTGCTGTGTGCTCACAGCAGTATACTATTAGCTGCACAGCCTTGGGGGGGGGGGTCTGTCCTTTCCAAGCACTTCTCCTCCTTCATTCCTTTCACACACGAGTCATTTCTCCCTCAGCAGAAGACTCCTTTGTGTTAAATTCACACAAAACCTTTCCTATGTGCAATACAGAACAGGCATGCGGGGGCAGTAGACTGAACTGATTTGTAAAAAGCAGTGTGTTTCGGACAGCTGTTTCAGGGTTTCAGACATGTGCCAAGCAGCTCTGTGTGTGTTTTAGTGATGGGGATTACAGTTTAGGAAGTCCTTACTGCTTCTTGTACTATATGGCTTATTGATTTTGTAAATTATAGATAACTATATCTGTAAGGAATAGCATTTCAAGAATAAATAGGATGGGGATATTAAACATGAAGGTAATAGAATACATGTGACTTGAAGGCAGAAGAGAGGCTGAAGGAGAACAGTAGGAGGGAAGCAGGGGAAGAGGTGAAGAAGAAATTGGAGGAAGAAGATCAACATGAAAGTGTATGTAAAAGCGCTATAAATTGATAGGTAAATTCATTATATAAATGGTATAGAATTTGCATGTAACGTATGCATACCTTCTTGTTTACTTTAAAAATCACCTTTAGATTATTGACAGTCAGTGTGAATTGTGTCCTTTGCTAAGCACTACAGTGTAAGAAAAACATCTGCATGTGTTCAGTACAAACTGGGCTTTTTTTTTTAAAAAAAGAAATGTTTTCAATGTGTATTATTCTTTTTATGGATGTGGAGACCATGGATACAGAGGGATGACTGTATTAGATCTTTTAATATTAAACAATTCTTGCAATGTTAGAATAATTTAGTGGACTTAAATTAGTTTTTAAAAGACTTAACTCTTAGGAAAACTGACCTGAGGGTACAGAGAGTTTCCGTGTGTCCCCTGTCCCAGTATATACTTGCTGTCTCTCACTATTTATATCCTAAACTATAGCAATACACTTGTTAACAGTGGATTAGCATGCATTGACATATCAGTATCACTCAGAGCCCCAAGAAGCAAGGTTACTGGCTATTATGGTTAGGAATATATTGTGTAGGAAAACATCTGACTGTCCTTCAGGGTGACTATACAGTCTTGCATCTCCACCGGAGGGAATGGCAGTATTTTTTCATAAACTTACTACTGTCTCTCTTCTTTGGCTAAGTGTGTGTTAGGTCTTTCTTTTTTAAAAATAATATTTTTATTCTTTGAGACTTTTATATAATCAAAATTAATTTTTATCATATTCAATCCCTCTCCATCACCACTTTCCAATTCTATTCTCACCTCTGTATCCACTTGACTTGGGTCAGTGCCACTTCTCCCTCTCCATCCTTCATCCTCTTCTCTTCTTTTTGTTAAAACCCACGGAGGTTTTAACCCACTCTTGGGAGTGGGGCCTATCCTGGAGTGTAGTCAACCTCCCAGGGTCTGGCACAGGTTTTTCCATTGACGAAAATTGATTCTATTAGTACCTACCAAATGTCAGTAGCTTTTCAGCTTCTTGTCTGCTTTCTACCCACTCCATTTTGGGATTTTTGTCTGATTTGAGCTTACACAGGTTTGTGCATGCTGTCATGCACTGTGAGTTTTATGGATAACCACTTTGTTGTGTCTAGAAAACACTGTTTCCTTGAAGTTACTCACCATCCCCACTTCTTACAATCTTTCTTCCCCTCTTCATTGATGATTCCTGAGCCTCAGGGAGAAGGGCTGTAGTAGGTATTTTCCATTTAGGGTGAGCATTCCACAATCTCTTATTATCTGCTTATTCACCAGTTGAAGGTCTGTTAATTGCCATCTACTGCAAGAAGAAACTTCTGATGTGGATTGAGAGATGCACTGATCTATGGATGTAGCAATAAATCATTAGAAATTATTCTAAACACTGTGTTCTTGTAGCAGAATAATAGCAGTATAGGTTTTTCCATAGGGCCTGTAACCAGTCTAGCCACATGTTCTCGGCCTCATTAACAATGCCAAGTTTGAGTTCCAACTTATGAAGTGTCTGCTATCTTTTTTCCTTTTTTTTAAATACACACACACACATATGTATATACATTTCTTCATTTGGTCATTCTGATAGATAAGGTAAAATCCCAGAGTATTTTTAATTTGCATTTCCCTGATTTATGTTAGGTATTAAAAAATAAAACATCTCTCAGATATCTGTATTTCATCTCTGTTTAGTTCCATGTTCCATTTTAAATTGTTTTTCTTAATGTTTATTTTTTTTATCTCATCATAAATTCTATAGACTAAATCTCTGTCAGATGTATTTTCCCATTCTGTAGGCTGCCTCTAGAGTGGAATGTTGGTGTCCTTTGCTGTACAGAAGCTCCTCAGCTTCATGAGGTCCCATTTATGCGTTGTTGATTGTTAATGCCTGAGCTACTGGGGTCTTGTCCAGAAAACCGCTTTCCAATATTATAAGTTGAAGAGTGTGTTACCTATTTTCTCTCACAGTCAGGCTATCAGGTCTTATGTTGTGGTCCTTAGTCCATTTGTGGCTGAGCTTTGTGCAGGGTAAGGATGAAAATGTGTCTCATTCTTCTTTATGTAGCTGTCTAGTTTGAATAGCACCATTTGTTGAAGACCTTGTCTTTTCGCTAGTGTGTATTTTTGGCCTCTTTGTCAAAATTTAGGTGACTGTAGGTTTGTAGATTCATATCTGGGTTCTCAGTTCTATTCTGTTGGTCAGTGTATCTGTTTTTATGCCAGTACCATGATGTTTTTAATCATTGTAACTCTGCAGTATAATTTAAAATTAGGGATGCTGATACCTCCAGTAACACCTTTGTTGTTCAGCTTGTTTTGGCTGTCGTGTATCTTTTGTATTCACATGTGAAATTTAAGGTTTTTTTTCCTCCAATTTCATTGCAGCTGATAGTTTTGATAGGTATAGTAGTTTGGGGTTGGCATATGTGGTCTTTTATAACATCATTCCAGGCCCTTCTGTTTTTTTATTTTTTATTTATTATTATTATTTTTAATATTTATTTATTCTGTATACAGTGTTCTGCAGGCCAGAAGAGGGCACCAGATCTTAATGCAGATGGTTGTGAGCCTCCATGTGGTTGCTTGGAATTGAACTCAGGACCTCTGGAAGAGCAGCCAGTGCTCTTAACCACCGAGCCATCTCTCCAGCCCTTCCACTCCTTCTGTTTTTTAAAGTCTTCATCGAAAAGCCAGGTGTTATTCTGATGGGCTTGCCTTTATGTGTGAGTTCATCTTTCTCTCTTGGAGCTTTCAGTGTCCTTTTTTTGTTCTGTACTTAGTGTTTGGATTATTATATAATAGGAGAAGATTCTTTTCTGATCCTGTCTATTTGGTGTTCTATATGCCTCTTGCAGCTTAATAAGCATCATCTTTGATGATTTTGTTAGAAATGTCTTCTGTGCCTTTGACTTGGTACTCTTCTATATATGTTTTATAGGTTTAGATTTTAATAATATCCCAGAAGTCCTGTGTGTTCTATTCCCAAGGTATGTTTTTTGTTTGATTGTTTTTTAGATTAATCATTTTTGTTTGTTCCTTTAGTTTTTGGAGACAAGGTTTCTCTGTATTCTTTGTTGTCTTGAAAACTGTCTGTAAATCAAAGTGGCCTTGAATTCAGAGACGTTCCTGTCTGTCTCTGCCTTCTGAGTGCTGGGATTTAAAGACCAGCGCCACCATGCATTTTTCAATGACTGATTCGTTTCACCTGTCTTCTCTTCAGCTACTGTCTTGTCTTCCACTTGATCAATGCTATTGGTGAGATTTTTCCTCTTTACTTTTTGTTTGACAGCTTGAGTGTTTCATTTTGAGTCTTAACGTTTTAGCTTTTCTTCATTGAGTTTCATTAGTAAATTCCATTTTTTATCCTGGAGTTTTTCATTATTTTATTCAACTGTGTCTTTGAAGCCCACATTCAACCATTTTGTTCGTATTGTCTTTGAATTCCATATTTATAATTGCTGTTTTGCAATCGCAAATATTAGCTAAATTGCTTTTCTCAGGGCACATTATGATGAGGATACTGAATTCTGGAGGAGATATGTCTTGCTTATTTATGTTGACTGTGTTTTTGCAATGGGACCTTAGCACCTGGAGTTAGGTTGTTGGTAGTTTCTCTTTGTGTGAATGAATATATGGTCTCACCTTTGTTTGTTAAGTGTTTGGAGTTTGGTTTGTCTTTATATCAACTTGTGAGGTTGTGGATCAGCTGAATGCTGCTTGGTATTCGGTCTTGAGGCCACTCTGTGTTGATGTATGAATGGGATATCAGAAGTAGTCCCAACTTACATTGGTATAGGTGTACCTTCTTACACCTACGAGTAAACTTCTCTAGGCTTAGATTCTTGGATCTGATCTTCAAAGGCTTGTGGAGTACTCTCTGGATTCTTGAGTTGGTTCTTTGGTAGCAGGGGCTGGGGCCACAATGATAATTTAGCAGTGTTCTCTAGAGGCAGAGAACAGGAATGCACTCTCCTAAAATAAGTGGCCTGGAGGCCAGTCTGGGGTCTCCTGTCTTTGGTTGGGGCACAAAACTGGCAGCTTGGTAGGTAAGGTGGCTGATTGGCTCTGAGCATCACCACCTAAAGTTCTGGGGCAGATTCCTTACTGTTCTAGATGTCTGGATTGGCTGATGGTATTTGGAGGACCTATCTGGAGTTCTGGGTCAATTTCCATGTGGTACTGGGTGTCATGGTTATTACAGTGGTTGTGTGACAGTCAGGTGGACAAAAATAGAATGTCTGTTAAGAACTTTAGCCATGGACTGGAGAGATGACTCCACGATTGGTTCTCTAAAGGCCCAGAATAGAATTAATATGTATTAAATATTACTAATATAATATTAAATATATTAAAAGGGATTTATTACACTGGCTTATAGGATGTGGTCTGAGTAGTTCAACAATGGCTATCCGACTGATTAGTTGTTTGGTTCACAAGGCTGAATGTCTCAACAGTGCCAGGCTGGTGGTAACATCTTAGAAGATTCCTAAAGAGCTGCTGGCTTTTAGTCTGTGTTGGAATCCTAAAGAAGCTTTTGTGCATGGGAATAGATATGGATCTATTTGCATTCTTCTACATGTTATCATCCAGTTAGGCCAACACCATTTGTTGAAGATGCTTTCTTTTTTCCATTTTATATTTCTAGCTTTTTTTTTGTCAAAAATCAGGTGTTCATAGGTGTGTGGATTAACATCAGGGTCTTCAATTAAATTCTACTGATCTATTTTTATGCCAATACCAAGCTGTTTTCATTACTATAGCTCTGTAGTAGAACTTGAAGTCAGGGTTGGTGATATCTCTGGAGGTTCCTTTCTTGTACAGGTTTATTTTGGCTATCTTGGGTTTTTTGTTTTTCTATATGAAACTGAATATTGTTCTTTTGAGGTCTATGAAGAATTGTGTTGGGATTTTGATGGAAATTGCATTGGATCTGTGGATTGCTTTTTTAGGTAAAATTGCCATTTTTATTATGTTGATCCTACCTATCTAAGAGCATGGGAGATCTCTCCATTTTCTGATATCTTCATTTTCTTTCTTCAAAAACTTAAAGTTCTTTTCATCCAGGTCTTTCTTTCACTTGTGTTACTCCGAGATAGTTCATGTTATTTGTGGCTACTGTAAAGGGTGATGTTTCTCTGATTTCTTACTCAGCCCTTTTATCATTTGTTTATAGAAGAACTACTGAGTTTTTTGAGTTGATCTTGTATCCTACCACATCACTGAAGGTGCTTATCAGTTGTAGGATTTCCCTGGTAGAAATTTGGGGCCTACTTATGTATACTATCATATAATTTGCAGATAGCGAAAGTTTGACTTCTTTCTTTCCAATTTGTATTCCCTTGATCTCCTTTTGTTGTCTTACTGCTCTAGCTAGAACTTTGAGTACTGTGTTGAATAGATATGAAGAGAGTGGACATTCTTGTCTTTTTCCTGATATTAGTGATATTGTTCACCTGGTCTTGATTTAATTTTGGTATGTGATACCTATCTAGAAAATTGTTCATTTCTTTTACATTTTTCAGTTTCGTGGAGTACAAGTTTTTATTGTATGATGTAATGATTTTCTCCGTGTCTATCATTTCTGATTTTGTTAATTCGGATGTTCTTTCTGCCTTTTGATTAGTTTGGATAAGGGTTTGTCTATTTTGTTGATTTTTTCAAAGAGCCAGGTCTTTGTTTCATTGATTTGTATTGTTTTCTTTGTTTCTGTTTTATTTATTTCAACTCTCATTTTGATTATTTCCTGTCATCTACTCCTTCTTGGGCAAGTCTTTTTGTTCTAGAGTTTTCAGGTGTGCTGTTAAGTCACTAGTGTGAGATTTCTTCATTTTCTTTATATAAGCTCTTAGTGCTATGAATTTTCCTCTTTGTACTGCTTTCATAATATCCCATAGGTTTAGGACATTCATTTTTTGTTGTGCATTCACTTTGTTGAATTCTTTCTTTATTTCTTCCTTGAGCAAGGGTTGATTCAGTTGAGCATTGTTCAGTTTCCATAAATTTGTAGGTTTTCTGTCATTAGTGGTGTTGTTGAATTCTAACTTTAAGCTATGGTGATCTGATAAGATACAGGGGATTATTCCAATTTTTTTTTTTAATTTCTGTTGAGGTTTGCTTTGTGACCAAGTATGTGATCAGTTTTAGAGAAGGTTCCATGAGGTGCTGAGAAGAAGGTATATTCTTTTGTGTTTGGGTGAAATGTTCTGAGGATGTCTATTAAGTCCATTTGAGTCGTGACATCTGTTAGTTCTCTTATTTCTCGGTTAGGTTTTTGTGTAGCAGACTTTTCTATTGGGGAGAGTGAGGTGTTGAAGTCCTTTACTATAAGTGTGTGGGGTTTGATATGTGATTTAAGATTTAGTAATATTTCTTATACATATATGGGTGCTCTTGTATTCAGGGCATAGATATTCAGAGTTGAGACTGCATCTAGATGGATTTTTCCTGTGATGTGTGTTAGATACTAGGATAGCCACACCTGCTTGTTCCTTAGGTCCATTTGATTGGAAGTCTTTCCCAATCCTTTACTCTGAGGTAGTGTCTTCTTTGAGGTTGGGTGTGTTTCTTGTATGCAACAGAGTGATGGATCCTGTTTTCGTGTCCATTCTGTCAGCCTGTGTCTTTATAGGTGAATTGAGTCCATTGATACTAAGAAATATTAACAACCAGTGATTGTTTATTCCTGTTACTTTTCTGATAGTGTTTGTGTGTTTCCTGGTGTGAGCTTACCTGTGTTTTTGTGTAGTTTTCCTTCTAGTATATCCTGTAAGGCTGAGTTTGTGAATAGGTATTGTTTAAATTTGGTTTTGTCATGGAATATCTTGTTTTCTCTGTCTTTGGTGATTGAAAGCTTTGCTCTTGGTATGGTAGTCTGGGCTTGTATCTGTGGTCTCTTTTTCTGTACCACATCTATATCTAGGACTTTCTGGCTTTCAGAGTTTCCATTGAGAAGTGAGGTATAATTCTGATAGGTCTGCCTTTATATGTTCATTGGCCTTTTTTCTTTGCAGCTCTTAACATTTTTTTTATTTATTCTGTATGTTTAATGTTTTGATTATTATAGTAAAGGGTCTTTTTTTTTCTGGTTCAGTCTTTTTGATATTCTTGTACCTTCATAGGGATATCCTTCTTAGGTTGGGAAAGTTTTCCTCCCTGATTCTGTTGAATATATTTTCTGTGCCTTTGAGCTGCAGTTCTCCTTCTTCTATTCCAACTATTTTTAGGTTTGGTCTTTTCATGGTGTCCCAGAATTCCTGGATGTTTTGTGTTAAGGATTTGTTGGATTTAACATTTTCTTTGACTGATGAATCTATTTCCTCTATCATATCTTTAACGCCTGGGATTCTCTCTTCTATCTCTTATATTGTGTTGGTTATGGCTGCATCTATAGTTGCTGTTTGTTTACCCAGATTTTCGTTTTCAAGAATTCCCTCAGTTTGTGGTTTCTTAATTGACTCTATTTCTGTTTTCAAGTCTTGAACAGTTTGAGCTGTTCGCTTCACCTGTTTGATTTTTTTCTTGGCTTTCTTTAATTGATTTCTTCCAATTTTCATTGTCTTTCCCTCTATTTCTTTAAGGGATTTTCCATTTCCTCTTTAAGAGTCCCCATAATTTTTATAAAGTTTATAAAGGCCATTGTCTTCTTCTTCTGAGTTAGGATGTTCTGGTCTTCCTGTTGCAGGACCCCTAGGTTCTGGTGCTGCCATATTTCTTTTTATGTTGA